GCAGGCCAGGCCCCCCACCCGAAGGCTTCCCCGGGCACTAAAGGGTGTGTGTGTGGGGGGTCGAGCTTCCTGTGGTTTTCTTTCCGTGGCCCAGGCAAAACACACCCCACACGGGTCTCGACCGTCCAGTGTCCGAGCTTGCCGGAGACCTTGCCAGATCTGATGCGGTTTTGCTAGAAGCCACAGTCCCGAGGCCAGCTTTTAAACAAGTGAGGAAGCAAGGAGGAAGACAGAAGCTTGCCCCAGGATGAGAGGAGGTGCCAGGCAGTGCCGGTTTTTCTCACTAGCCTGGTTTTTTTTAAAGTCTTCCCACTTTTGACTGTTTCTCTTGACCTTTCAGTGGAAGACAGGAGGGCCTGGCGTGCTCTGGTCCATGGGGTCATGGACAGGACTAAACAACAACAACTGACCTTTCATGGCCCTCCCTCCAAACATGTTGCCTCCTGGTCCATGAAGCAGCAGCATCATCTGTACTTTGGAACAGTCTTGGGGAGGGGGGGGGAATAAGCCTGTTCCACACATGCTCATTTTATAAGGAAGTCACTGTTTTACCCTTTTGAAAGGCCTTTTTTGAGGATCAGTATTTCAGCCCGTGAAGCCTTTCCAGTTTTTTTTAAAAGAAGGTGTTGTCAATCATTCTTTTTCAAGCAAGACTGGTCTTTTCAATTTGATCTGTTCTAAATCTGGGAGTGGTTAGCGTTGCTTGCGTCTGCATGAAGGGGAACAGTTTTACTTTTGAAAAATCATAACTTAAAACCCCATTTTCCAAAGTTCCCCAAATTTGGCACAGAGCAGCAGCAGAATCTGCTACATCTGTGCTAAATTTGGAGCTAACATGAAGTCTAGTTTCAAAGTTATAATTTGTTGTTTGGGCTACCCTCACTTTTAGAATTGCCTTGTAGAATGTTGATTTGCTTTGCCAGCACAGTAATGCCACACTACACTCTCATGCAGTGAGAATTAGCAAAGATGCAATGCCAAGGTCTCCAGTAAATATTCTAGTAGTATTTTTCACCCTCATCTTGGAGACTGAACTTTTTAAAATTAACATTTTGATTGCAAGCTTTTTTTAATATGTTATAGTATTTGTTGAAATGGTTATATAGCAGGAGTGGACAAGTTTCGGGCATCCCAGTGCCAATTTTCCTGCCCAAGACTCATGGTGGGTTGCACTGGCCCCAAAAATTATAAAGAGAAGGTGATAGAAAAAACAAAACCAGATACGGTCAGACATTTTAATGATTAACTATCACTCCTATAAGCTTCCAGAGATGGGGTGAAAGTCATTTAAATGACATTTCTTTTGATAGTTGGTATTATGAAGGTCTGGGAGAGGCTCAAGGGCTGCAGAAATGCTTTCAGGTCACAGGGACTGAACAGATACCACTCCTGCAATGTAGCTCCATTGTTACTGGTTGTGTAAATAGTCCTACATTTCAGTTTTGATTAGTGCTGACTGCATTTAATTGTAATTTTGTTTAGATTAACCATGGAAAACAAAGAAGGCGGCATTGAAGATGCCGAGATAAGGGGTTCACATGGTGCAGAAAGTCCATGTAATGTTCAGCAACAAGCTGATGAAGAACTTATCTTTCATGAAGAAACCATTGATCTTGGAGGGGATGAGTTTGAGTCAGAAGAAAATGAGACCCTTGTGGAAGATTCCAGAAACTTCATAGATAAACTTAGTGAGCACATGATGGAGAGTGTCATTATATCAGATTCTCCAAATAACAGTGAAGATGATGCTGGTGATCTTGGTTGTCTGCAAGAAATTGTACACCAAATAGAAGCAAAAGATATTCATACAATAGAAGGAGAGGTAAGAGGTAAAGATATTGGTGATGAAAGCAAAATTGAACCCGAAGGTGCTACTAAAGATATTTCTGATACTGAAACTGGTAATCAGTTTTCCTTAAAAGAAGAACTGAAGCAGGAACCAGCACAAAATGAATTGGAAGTGGAAGGTGCCAACCTGCTTAACTCTGCTTCAGACAAGGAATGCAAACCTAAGGAGGCAATATCTTCGCCACTAGCCAGCAAATCGTCTGATGACTCTGAGCCTATTCCCGTGTGTACCATTTTCAGCCAGGGGAATCACATGAATAGCCAGCAACAGTCCCTGCATGATGGCTTTGAACCTCAAATGGTGAAGTCACCCAGCTTGGGTGGTATAAGTGAGACTCCAGTGAAAATTCTTCCCCAGGTAGTTCAGCCTAGTCCAAGTCTGAGCAAATTTTTTGGTGAAGTCATGAATACAAACACACTAGCCTCTGATTTTTTTGATTCATTTACTACATCCTCTTTTATTTCTGTCAGCAATCCCAATGCAAGCTCATCTGTACCAGAACAGATGTCTTCTCTTGTAAACACTGGCGAGTTCCATGATTCTACAGACCAAAACTACTTTGTTAAAAATGGAAGATCTGAAGCTGGGAGATCTGCATCTTCTCCAGAAATATCACAGTCTCCAAAGCCATTTTCCCAAATACATGCAGTTTTTCAAGGCAGTGATGATCCTTTTGCATCTGTGCTAAATATGAGTGAACTGGACAGAAGAAATGATGCTTGGCTTCCCAGCGATGGAACTAGAAATGTGTTGATATCTGTCGCCACACAGCAATATAGTAATGTTTTCATAGACAAAGAGAATCTCACAATGCCTGGATTAAAATTTGACAACATTCAGGTAAGATTTTTTTTTTAAATACAGTGGCTCACAAACTAAAAGCTATGTACAGAGTTCTCATCACTTTAAAATAAAATAAGATATGTCAGTCCATATGAAAAATGTCAAAACCCATTGTCAGGCAATTCTTTTATCATGACTAACCAAATATGCACAGAACGGAAGTTAAACTTTCAAGACTGCTGTATCTTTGGCAACTATGATGTTACAAAATGCAGGTGGTGAGGATGAAAGGGGGGGGGGGAAGCTAGATAGTATTTGTGAAGATTTCCTAGTTCCAGGAGGCCATTTTGTAGCTGCCCAACCACATTATCTTGTTTGTCCCAGGGTGTGTGATCCCAGGACTGTGGAACCTGCCTAGCACCTTCCCAGACTTGGCAGTGCTTCCAGGGAGAAGTTTATATTTTATATAAGAGAGTAAAAAAAAAAAAGGCAAAAAGATTCAAAAGGCATCTGGAACAAAAATACAATTGAGGCAAATCAATTTTGCAATCAAGAGTACACTCTAGAAAAGCTAGTTTAGAAAGCGAAAGTGTTCTACATAATACTTACAGAGCAAGGCAGGTCAGCATGGTTTTCAGGCATGCGCAGGGGTCCTCCTGAACAGCAGGATAGCAATTGGGCACAGTATCTCCAAAGAGATATCTAAGCCAACTGAAGTAACTTTATACATAAAACATCCCATTCTAGACCCTTTCAGATGATCTACCCATCAGGCTTTGAATTCCATCAAATGTTCAAGAAGACCAGAGCACTTCCTGTCCCCCTCAACTCTCTCACGGCAGAAGTCATTTCCCACTTAGTGTGGTTACAGGGAACCAGTCTGCTTAACAGTGAAGGTCTTCTCAAGATATAAGCTTCAGTTAGCCCTTTATTACCAAGCAGACACTGACCATTACAACTCTCAGCCGACTTTTCCAGGCACGCACAAAGAAGCATTATTTTTTAAGTCCATGTTCCCTAATTCCTCAGTTTCTTCACAATATTCTGCAAGCTGAGAATCTTAAGAAGAAACAAAGAAAGGTTTGCAAACTAGGTATGATGCCTGTTGGAGGTTATACTTAGGATTACCACATACGTCTTTACCATTATTTTTCCTTACCACCCACCTGTTGGGAAGGCGTGCACTAGAAAGTCTCTCCACCCCCACATAATGCACCCCTCATTCCTTTTACTACATAGAAATAGGCGGTTGAGGCCTATTTCATTGTTCAACCTCAATCATTGTTCCTTTAGTCCTATATAAGAAAATGGGACAAATTTCAGCAAAGTCGAAAGGGGGAAAAATATCTTCCAGAAGCTCCAGATAGTTCTTCATGACTCCGAACAGAAGCACTTCTTTTAGAAATTGGAAATATGCTGCAGTACATGGATGGAAAGCTGCACTTGTAGCTTGGCATCAGTAACACAGCTGTTCCTCCACCACTTGTATTTCAGTTTGCTTCTACTTTTCCTGCTTCTCTGTTCAGGGTTTCTGTGAAACTCAAAAGGTTAGCTTAATAATAATAATAATAAAATGGCCTGTCAGGTATATTGTGCATGGCCACAGAAGGATAAATGATCTTCTGAAAGAATTTGGACATATTTATTATATTGGCAAGTATTGCACCGTTCTTCCTATTTCATAAGTTTCCAAATCACTCTTTCACTCTTTTGTCAAAGTTAAAAGTAGCTACTTTACATTTTATGTACGCTTAATGATTCAAAAATGAAAGTGGCCTTTTGATTGAAGTTACCTAGAAACTATAATCTGCAGCATTTATTGTATGTGAATAACAGCAACATTAAAAATTAAAATTATTGCTTGTCCCATGACAGTTAGGTTTAAAATAAGGAGAGAACACCTATCTATTGTTGAAGAGTGCCAGAGATTGACATGAGGCAAAACACTTCCCATTGTCTTCCATTTCTTTAATTTTAATCATATCATGGATTAATTTAATATTTATACTGTCACATGATCTATTTTATTGCCTTTCAGGAATAATAAAAAAGCAGCTAAATCAAACCAATTAAAATTAAATCCAGCATTATTTTGCTATTGATTTGAAGCCATTACTATCTTTCTACTCACTGTTCTTCAACTTGCATTTCCCTCATCCTACTTGCTCAGTTCTTTTAAAAATTGCTCTCTCTTGAGATACGGCATGGCATTTAGGTAATGTTTAGATAGCAGCAGCTCTTTCATTAGGAGATACACTTACAGTTGTCTTGTGATATTTCTAAATAGCTGAAAGTGGCCTAAATAGTGAAATTGCCCTGTGGGTGGTTTGAGGATTTTGTCCGCCTCTACTAGTGGGTGCATACAAGGCAGCATTCCAGTTGTGTGTCCTTCTGCTTTTATGTGATTGGATTTTACCATGCCTCAGTAAATGTGCAGTATACAGAAACTGAGGTGTGGAGGTGCAAGCAATCTTGAGAAGATTGCCAGATGCAATTTTTTGCTAAAGGAATTTGGTGAATGAGTGAATGGTACAATGTTCATACATTCAGTAATGAGAAGTCTTGAAATGAGCATGGAAGGATTTTTCAGTAGGTTGGAGAAATAACCATGTAAGGTTGCTGTCCAAGTCCGTGATAGATAAGGTGGGATCTCTTTAGTGGTAATTATAAATGTGAAAGTGGAGTACTAAGTAATGCTAGGTCGTGAGACAGGATAATGACTTCACCATTTCTTGTACAAATTTTAGTATTAGTTTATACAAAACACTGCAAGTCTGGAAATACTTAATCTAGTATGACAACGCTTAATCTAGTATGATGTCCTATATAACATTCTTGCTGAGTACACTTTTCTAGATGCAAAGTTCTGATGGACTCAAAAGTTGACCTTTTTCATTTTCTTAATGTTTTTATACTTGGTAGACCCACTTTGCTTTTTAAATTTTACTTATGAAGCACTTGTCCATTAGCAATAGAGAACACCGCAAATAGCTGTTCAAAGGAGGTTATACCAGAGCTGCATGGAGTTTTATGACCACTTGAAAGAATCTGTGGTATATTGAGAGTTTTCAAGCACAAAACAAGTACTTTGTGTTGGCCATGGAAGCAGAATTGGAACTATTGCAGAACCTTAAATAATATATTATCCTATCGTCATCTGCTCATAAGCAGTGATTTTCTTTATTAGCTGAGATTTCCAGAGAGTATTCACAGACATGCCCATCTAGATCATATGATAATAACCTAATTGGAAAATAATTAAATCGCCAATTATGGGGGCCAAAGATTGATCTTTTCACAGTGGATATGGAGAAAAAGTGTCCCGAGTCACAACTTCTGTTTCAGATTCCAAAAATATCCCGTTTTTCAAGGAATATATGCCCTGATCTAAGGCAAGCATTTCAAGCCCACTATCATTGTATTTTTATCATAGACAAACTGAAATTTTAAATTTTGAGATAAATCTTCATGGATCCAGGCAATGGAGTACAGTACATTGAAAAACCTCAAGTATGTAGTTTTGCATCAGTGCATTCCATTTATGCTTTCTCTAATGGGAACCTGTAGTGACAGATGCTTTGTATATTCCTCTCAATAGGGTGATGCTGTTAAAGACCTAATGCTCCGCTTCCTTGGTGAACAGGCTGCAGGGAAGAGACAAGTTCTGAATGCGAACTCTGTGGAACAGTCTTTTGTGGGTTTGAAGCAGCTAATAGTGAGTAACAACATGTTGTACCTCTCTGTGTATATTGAACAGTAGGCTCTTTTTCTCTAAATACAGTGGTGCCCCACTTGACGATGATAATGTGTTCCGTTAAAATCGCTGTTAAGCGAAATCGTCGTCAAGCGAAAGTAAAAACCCCATTGGAATGCATTAAAAACCGGTTAATGCGTTCCAGTGGGGAGAAATACCTCATCATCCAGCGGAGATCCTCCATTTCTGATCACTATCTTCCAGAAATAGGTCCGGAAAACAGCGGGGAGCCATTTAACCGCCAATCAGCTGTTTAGAATCGTTGTCAAGTGAAAAAATAGTTCCCGAAGCAGGAAACTATTCATTGTGAAGTGAAAAAACCCCATTGGAATCATCGTTTTGCAATCACTATAACGATTGCAAAAAAGTCATCGTCAAGCGGGGTCGTCGTCAAGTGGGGCACCACTGTACTTAAGAGATAACGTTATTTCTTGGTTGTTGTGGGTTTTTTGGGCTTCTTGGCCATGTTCTGAAAGTGGTTCTTCCTAACGTTTCGCCAGTCTCTGTGGCCGGCATCTTCAGAGGACAGCAAACTGTGCTCTGGGTAGGCTTGAGAGTGGGTGGAGTATTTATGGCTGTGAGAAGGCTAGTTTGTGAGGTAGGCTATTGTCCTAATCAGGATTTCTGGAAGTTGAAGTCCAAGAACATCTGGAGGCCCAAGGTTGGGGGCCACTGCTCTAGATGCATCTGGTTCAATATCCTGTATTTTGCTATTTAATCCAGAGCAGTGGTGGGCAAAAGGTAAATGTGGATCTGCTTGTAGATCCCTTGGTGAATTCCAGAAAGCTAGCAAGAATTTGTAACACCAGTTGGTAACAATAGCAGTAGTAAAATTAACCCACCTTAAATTATGCTGCTTGAAATGAGGAAAGCTTGTGGTAACCAGAAGTAGATCTGCATTTGGAAGGAATGTGAGCTCTGTTCTGTTTTCATATTTGAAACGTTCAGAATTCTTCAATTCTGTATTCCAAACCTATCTTTATTAGGCCAACAAAAAAGTTGAAATAGTATGAAAGCATTTGAAATAATCAGGCTGGATGGTTTTTAAAAAGGCAGAGTAGGGTGCAAAGAAATTGACAGATGTTAAAGCCATGTTTCTTTTTGGTGAGGCTCATGTCTCGGGTGCTATTTTTACAAAAAACCAAAAGAGACTCCCGCAAAGCATGAAGACTGGACCGTGTGTGTTCTAAAGTTGACACATCCCAAAATTTAACAAGTGCATCTTACCAATCATTATGTAGCTGAGAGCCCTAAATGCTTAACCCATTTCCTCTGTTTTGTTCGCACCTGAATGACAATGCCCGTTTTCCTTTTAGATTTTTTCATCAATACTGTTGCTATTTTTTTGAGCTTAGTGGCCCAGTCTGCTGAATTGAATGTACCTCGCTGCATATTGCTGTCACTCCACTCTTTCTATCCAGGGCAGTCTGTACTCAAACCTGTGATTGGAGGAGGAGTAACAGGAGCAAGGCAAAACTCTCGCACCTCTTTGGTGAACTGGTGGCTTCCTAATTCACATTCAAGAATTTCTCAAGAGTCAAATTGCCTGTTCTGTTTATTTGTCATTTCCAGCAAGCTTAGAAAGACAGACCACATTCAATGTCCATGTGCTTAGCAAGAATGTAGGAAGACTGTTTTGCACTTCTAGCCCAGAGGGAGGTAACGTGTAGCCCTTTAGATTATGTTGAACTGCAAATCCTAGCCAGCATAACCTGCAGTGGCTGATGATGGAAATGGTAGGTCATCTGCATTTGGAGGAATTGTGGTTTCCCACCCTATGATCTAATAGGACTGGCAGTAGCTCTCTGTGTGTTCTCTGGCTGCAGTTTTCCCATCACTTGCTACCTAATCCTTTTGACTAAAAATCTGAAGGACTGAACCTGGGGTCTTCTGTGTGCAACCAATGTTCTCCAGACTGAGCGATGATCCTTCCTTGAAGAGAATTTCAGCTCCTTTAAGTGAGTTACTGCAGGCATTAAGGGAAGGCTTTAAAAATATGCAGTGCTGCACACCCATCTAGTGGATCATTTCTCTGCTCCTTGGAAATTCAATTTTCTATCTCATATATGGAAAAACTTTTAAATTTTGTTGTAATAGCTCTTGCTTAGTGTCTAGGTGCCAGGGGTTTTGAAATAATGCCGTCTCAGTCTCAAGACAGTAAAGGGCATTTGTTGCACTCTAAGTCTATGTGGAGAATATTTTGAATATTCATGTACATGTTGTTATTCGTGTGTAGAACATTCAGTTGCACTTGAAATAAATAATAACCCATCTGTGCAATATTGCGGCCTTAAAGCACAAAATAGTCATAAAAATGTTATTTGGTGCATAAACTCTATAATGGTTAGTTACTGTTGTTTTGAGAGTCTACGTTTTAGTTTCTTCCTCACATGAACAGCATTCATAGCAGTTTTGTGATGTAAGTAAGCCAAAATCTGACTGGTATTTTTTAAAAGAGGAAACATGCAACAGATAACTAAGATTTTTAATAGCAACACTTCTGTGTCCTTATTAATGAGCTTTATGCTAACTTTCAACAAGCTCTAGCCGAAGGATAGGTTACTGCCTGGTTTTTTCTAAGTAATGTCAAAGTGTTCTACCAGAGAAATATACATTGGAGAAGAATGTCATAGCAAGTGTAGGGGAACATTTAAATCATTTTAATAGTGTTGCATGTAGAGTTAATGACTCTCTTTTGTTGCTCTGTGTAGAAAAAAAAATCATACCGTGATCCCTTTTTATCCCCTTATGACTCCCTGTAGACAATACTGTATATCATTCATAACATGTGACAACGGGTTTTTCAAATCAGTTGCTTTTATTCACTTTGAAGGTAACTTCTCAACAACTTCTAAGAGTTCAACTTTACAACATGTGATAACCAAGGTTTAGTACTGGAGTCATTTGGCGCTGTCCATTCTTTCACATTAGCTTCCCACTGTAGCTCCCAGTGGCTCTTCCTTGGGTTGACAAGATGGGAGATGGCATCCCATTGGGAAAGGGGTTTTGCTGCCGGGATGCCTGGCCCATCTCCTCCTCTGCTCTAAATCCCCCTTTCTCCTCAAATCTTTCTTGTGTCCCTCTAAATGGTGAGTCAAGCTGCCAGTTTCTGGTGAGGGGTTCCATGATCCTTCAATAGATAGAGTGTGTTCCCCTGACCTCTATTCCTTTTCCTTTCTCCAGCACTCCTGTGTTTCTCTCTCTTCCCCAAAGGGATGGTTTGAGAGGGGCTTGGTGTCTCCTTTGTCTTTTGATCTCTGTAGGGACTGTCAACTGGACTAGCTCATCCCTCCACAAGTCTTCTTTGGTTAGCCACTCCTAGTCTTATAGAGCAGGGGTCCCCAACCTTTTTCCCCCCACGGACCGGCTGGGGAAAATGGGGCACCCCCTGCGCTCGTGTGCGAGTGCGAATGAGCGGAAGCAAGCACACGTGCAAATGGCAGTGCAGTCCTTGTGTGAGCACGCATGTGCAAATGGTGGCACAGCACTCGCTTGGGTGCATGCGCAAACGGTGGCAGAGCGCTCACACAGGCATGCTGGAGCATGCGCACATGCACAAATCAGCTATGTGGGGATGAGTGCATGCAGGGGGGATGGGAGTTCTGTCTCTGTGGCCCGGTCCAGCACCGGGCCACGGACCATGGGTTGGGAATCTGCTATAGAGGTGTAAACTTTTGCTTTTTCTGCCCTGCAGAACTTGGACTCCGTGTCTGCTCCCTTTTCCTCCTTTTTCTCAGTCTCACTTTGCCCCACTTTGTGTTCCTCTTTTATCTCTTCTTCTTCGCCTAGCTCCTCCCTCCCTCCCTGCATGTTGGTCCTTTCCCAAGCTCGTGGGTGTATGGGGATGATCTGGCCTATCTGACTATCAAGGGAATTAGGGTCAATCGGGGCTTTCTCCTTTCTCTGGGGGAACTGGGTGTTGGCACTTCTGTAGTTACATCTGGGAGAGGGGATGGCACACTGACAGGGCCAATGCCTTCCCTATATCCTTTCTCACACGTAGACATTCATGCTACTCGTTTACTGTTGAACTCCTGTACATTGTCAAATACAGTAAGTTGTAGGCATTGTGTGCGTTTTTATTGCTAAGCTTTAAGTCCTCCAATTTTCACAATGAAGTGGAAAGGTTATAACTTGTGATTTTTCAGCTGCTTATATAAAAAGCTGAAATGGGTAAGAATCATCTTCATTCTGTGCTCTGAGGAACCTTGGGGTAATTTGTAATCTTATTTGGGATTCCTCACTTGCTGTTTTTGTACATTAGGCAAAGCCATAGTTTAATCCAACGCAAATGTGCCACAGGAGCCTTAGGCTTGTGCATTTTCTGGTCCCCTGGAACTGCCACAGGGAGCCTGTTTTTGCTTAACCACAATCTATCTCATCATTTGGACTAACAAACGACAATGAATGTTGCTTATATTTTGTGTGGAGCAAATCAGACTGAACCCTTGGTTAGTATACATTTCCAAACCAAGATGAGCTTTACATTTGACAAATGCTGCTTCCTTTTTGCTGCATATTTTCATCTTGAACAACACTTTGAATTTTTCAGGAGCAGTTGCCCTGGGACTGCTGAGTAGGTCAGGGCTGCTTAGTAGGTGCAATGAAACAAGTTCATGGTAATGTTATCTTTAACGTTAATAATTTTTATGTCAGAAAGAGATGTTTCTTTACCTTGGTTTATTTTAGGCGAGAGGTGATGAGTCTTCAGTGGTCTGCTTCCTAGGTGTAAGCAGATGGTCTTCAGAAATTTAATAATAGTAATAAAAATTTTGCTTTTATATCTGAAATCAGGAATGCATTAATTTATGGTGGCTGGTCCATTATTCTGCTTTATCACCTGAACTGTTTAACCTTCATTGCATATGTACATCTGTCATACATCGAAGAACAGATGGTGTCCATTCCCGCAGTTCTGTGTCCTCTGGCTGTGATCCCGTTAAATTGCAAGATGTTTTGTA